TTTATCTGTCTGTGGAATCAAAACTATTAATAGTTTCATTAAATAAACAGAATTTACAGGTACAGGCTCAGAATAATCACAATGAAGGAAAAAACACTGTATTTTATGTTCTCCCTTGTCTTGTAAACTTGGGACCAACTCATCTGAAACTGTTGAGAACCTTTTGATGCAAAACACAGAGTGTATGAAAAGCAGCCAAACAAATGTGGATACATCACAGAGGCAGAGCCTGCAGGAAACTGGAGAGCACGAAGAGACGACATCAGACCCTAGGAATGTAGGTAGGGACTTTTTAATAAAAAGAAAAGGCTCAGCACTACTCCTGTCCTTATCCAGGCTGAAGCTCAGTGCAATCGGTGCAAACATTTCATGATCCTGTGAGCCAGGAGAAAGAATGGAGGCATCTGTGGGGCCATAAAAGTCTTTCTGGTTTATTTAACAAAGGGAGATAGAGCAAAGGGGAAGGAAATACTTACTAAGCAAGGCAACTAGGTGTCAGCTCTTACATACATTTCCTTTATGGTTCACAACAGTGTATGATCCCCATTTTACTGATGAAGAAACAGGGACTTACGGTCACATCGCTGGTCCTGTGACCTTATACTCCAGTCTAACTCAAACACATTTTTATTGAACATTCACTCTTGTTAAGCCCAGTTCTAGATCCTGGGGATTGAGCAACAAGCAAAACAAAATCTGCTCTCAGGAAAGCGTATGGTTTTGTGGGGAACGATGCATCATACACAAATAATGTAATTTCAGATAGTGACACAATTAAGGGATATTAAAACGGTAAAAGTGAAGGATGTGGTAGAGTAACTAAGGAGGTAACTTAGGTTGCAAGGTTCGCAGGGATTATTTAAAAGATAATTTTGAGGAGATACTTCTGCATGGCTAAAGAAAATGGAGAATAAAGTGACTATCTTGTCCAACCTTAAATGGAAATCTCTGGCACTACCAGAAGCAAAAATTACCATTCATTTCCTGATTCTCAGCAAAGAGACTATGAGGTGAAAGGAGCTATAGTGTTATCCTAGTCCTAACCCAAAGCGATCGGTTAGATAGTCACCAGATGGAGAATATTTCCACATGAACCAAGGGGCTGTTCAGGGCGATGGGCTGACCAAATTAATTCTTAGATCCCCCAGCACCTACAATAGCACCCAACACATGCCAGGGCATAATAAATGACTGCTGAATGAATATATGAAGGAAGGAAGAAAAGAAAATGTTAAAATGTCACTGTCGTGGGTTAAATCCCTTTTCAGGCCAAGTGGCTTTAATTCACCCCAGTCCACTCCACCACCAGCCTCAACCACAAGAAGAGGGTGAGAGAAGGTGATTGGTGTAAATCCACGAACAATACTGTACTAGGAAACAATTAGCAATATGCTGCCCCCTCCCCAACCAAAGGTGGTCAGAAACCCCATCTTTAAATCCCAAGTTACACTTAATGAAAATCTAATACCCAAATGATGACTAAAAATGAGTAATTATTTAGCTGCTTAAATAAGGGCTCTCCTAATGCAGGTCCTCAGGATACTTCTGTATCAGGTACCTGTTCTAACTACTGCACACACAGCAACACAGCACCAAGTTGTGATGGTCTCTTTATCTGATTATCTTCCCTGCTAGGTTGGTACTTCTTGAGGGCAGGAACAAAGTACATTCATCCATATCGCCTCAGGGCCTTGTCCAGTTTAAACTGAAGAACCATGACTATGCTAAGTTAGAAAAATTAAATTTCTCCAAAACATTTCCGTCATGGGGCATACGGGTAGGGTGAGGCCCACCCACTACTATTGTTATCTGCTGAGCCTTCTCTATAGAACCTGAAGGCCTCATCATCACACATCACTCTTTCAGCTTCTCTTGCACAGGTAAAGAACTGGAAAAGCCTTAGAAGACTCTGCTTCAATTTTTAGAAGTTTATTTTTAAAGGATGGCCCTCGTGGTGAGAAAGAACAAACGGCCATTCAAAGCCGAACAAGAGTTGAGTTTGCCACTAAATATAAGAGATGCCGATGCTTCCTTTCTGGCACCCAGATGGAAGGATAGAAACAGTTTAAAAATAAGATACCACTTCTGATAGATTAGCGCTACCAATTTTTGTGATGTTTCAATAAAATCTTAATAATGAATCTGTGACATTTCTTTCTGAGACAGGGCAGGGTTGTGAATAATGACATTATTATAGTATCACAAGTAGACCCAGCATAAGGAACTATGGATGGCAGCGGGCATCCTAAGTAAGAATTATATTCGTTTTCTCCAGTAAGAAACATCCTCTGCATACGCCGTCTCGTTTTTAAAAACCATAACATCCAAGTTCTAATATCCCTGGGTTCTGCTCTTCCTAACATCAGCCACATCTCTAAAGTTTTTAAAGCTTCGTCTCACACTATCAACAGAAAGAAAACTTCAACAAAAGGCACAAATTAAATACTATCCATCTGCACACTTAATTTACTACTCATTTGTATTTGCTTCCGAATTACCATAGTTTTGGTGTGCCATCAGGATTGGCTCTGCAGGAACTTAGATCCAAAATGGCAGCTGAGCTTCTGAAACTCACCAGAGCCATAACGCTTAACATACGTGAAACCAGGTCTTATTTATCTCACTTTTCAACCTGTCTAGGAGAAAAGAATATTTATAAAAACATTTCAAAGACTCAGATGGCATTCTGTTCACATTCGTTGTATCATTCTCCTTCTTGCGGGAGAACAGGCACCCTGCTTTTGGTTCCTCCGCTCCACAAACTGAATTAACCTGCTATTCCCATGTTTACACAGTCCACAAAAACAAGCTAATGGCAAAACATGGAAAGCTTAGGTTTTTCGCACTCTTCTCCTATAAGGCCAACTTAGGAAATGGGTGTAAAATGAATCATCTAACAAGTAAAGCCCCAAATAAGCGCTTTCATTTTCAGAAAAAACAATAATGAGAGCGTTAATTTTCCTTAGGTCCACCACAAAGCAACACTCCCTATCACTATGGTAATTTCTATGTCTTTTCCTCTAAATTCAAGATGTAAAAAAAATTTTAAAGAGACAAATTTGTTCCAGACTACCTCTTTAATGTTTCCAAAGCCCCTCACACAAAAGCTTAACTTACATCACCAAAAGATGTACATTGAATTTAAACTGTCACTTCTCTACTTATTTCCATTACTAATATAATAACATTAATTTTAGAAAAATAATAAAATACTTGCTCTTTAGAGATGGAGAACTTTAATTATCTTTATGTATTCAAATGCAGAGTCTTTTTGTTAAATTAGCGTGAAAGTCCCTTCATCTACACACAATTGGCCCAAAGAAACAGGCCATTTTCAGCACAAGGGGCCAATCCATTTGAACAGTGAATAAAGCTTTTGAAAGCACTACACACCCTCTTCCAGACTGTCAAATTTTCAAAACGGGCCAGCATTTCTTCCATTTTTTTTTTTTAACACTTGCAGGCCCAGCAAGCATCTTATAATTAGATTAATTAAAAAGGAAACAAAAACACTGCTCCCTTCTGATCAAAATTATTCCATTTATGCTTAATTAGCTTTAATCCAAGTCTACATATTTAATGATGGGGATATGACAATTCCACCCATTTGCATATTTTAAATGCCTTTCTAAACTATACTTTATAACAGATTTAGAAGAACAGTCTCTTTCTCATGCCAGTATGCCAGCATAAATCAGGAGGATACAAATTAGGAAAAAAAAGAAAAAAGAAAAGCAAACAAGGCCTCTCAGAGCCAGGGATGTGCTGAGGGGGTGGGGTAATTTACTCAGGGGTGGGGGCAATTTCCCCGCCACATCACAAACTACGATCCTTTCAGCCCACCAGACGAGAAGCATTACATCACACTCTTACAATGATAGGGGGAGGTGGCTCTGAGAAAGCAAGTTTTCAGCTTTCTTCCCTCCCTGCTCCCAGGCTTTCTAGAATCCTGTACTGGGAGTAATGGAATTTAACTTGAGGGCACCGCACGGTTTCGGGGGTAAAAAACATACACATACATAGAGCTATCTATTTACGTGACCCTAAATAACCACTTCAACAATGGATACATGGCCCAAACAGGCAACCACACACACACACACACACACAGATGCTGAATTTGTGCTGAAAAGCCCAGTTCGTCTGTATAAAATTAAACAAAAATTGTAACCCGTGAGAAATGGAGGAGGCCAGTCTACAGGGAAAAGCTGATAAAGAATTCATTCCTGATGGGGTGAAGAGCTGTTTAGATCTTAAAAACACCATGTTTACAAGATAGTCCTACCGTTTGGTTCAAACCACGATCAAAATAAAAGCGCATCTGGCTGCACATTTGAGAACACACACAGAGACCCAGTGCAAACGAGCGCGCGCAGAGAGGGGTGATCCACACATTGCTTGGGAGGTTTTCAAGCAGGGGAATCTACAAACCCCAAACCTCCTGGTGTTCACTCGCCCCCAGCCTGATGTTTAAAATGTATCAGGTCTTATTTTAGGTTCTACATCTCTCTAGGAAGGATGGCCTAGCTTTAAGGGAGAAAAAAAAAAAAGCTTCCCCGTGGTAGTGCTTGCCCTCCCAGATCCTTTGTCGGCCTTAGCAGCCGAAAGAATGCAAACCCATTTATATTTATGCAAATTTTTGCAGCAGATTTAAGGGGGCAGGGAGAGGTCTGTGTTTCTTAAAAACCTCTTTCTAAATATCAAATCTCCAGTTACTCGTAGTTTCATTTATTTGCAAGACAGAAATGATGATGAAAATCTGTATATAAATTAAAAGTGCAATTAAATCACTTCAAAATTTAAATATTCTACCACGGCTCTTCCATTTCTAAAATGCCGAACCAAAAGTACATCACGGGTCTGATTTACACAGATTCACGAAACGTCTGAAGCCAGTCTCCATGCTAGACAAATGTCCATTTGCAACATCACTAGTGAAAACGGTTAGACAAGATCCATATACATCAATTGGTTAAAAAAAATTGAAAATATTTACCAACCTCATAAAGTGCAGCAGTGCTTAAATCCAGCAAATTGAGGCATACAAGGTAGAAATGGAAATGAAAAAAGGTCCAAAAAATGATTTCTTTTTGTCTATCTGTTTTTTTGTATTTTAAATATTCAGAAACCAGCAGAGACTCTGTCGGCCATTTTGGCTTGAACTAACTCTCTCTCACTAACTCTCCCTCTTGCTCTCTCTCTCCCCCTCTGTCTCTAAAGGAAGCAGCTTTTTGTGACCTTCAAATAGAGGCGGATCATGTGACTTCGGGTAGGTCTGTCAATCAGGAAAGGGGAGGGAGCTGGGGTTGAAACTGCCTTAAAGGGAAAGCAGCCCTTTTCCACTCACTTTCATTTGTGAAAGGCTGTTATCTCATACTCTCCGCCTACACACACTGAATGTGAAAGTGGCAACAGCATAAGGGTAACAGATGAACAAAATATAAAAACCTTTATTGGTTTATAGAAATATGCTCAGTTGCTAACGATTCTTGCAGATCCTGGAGCTTGGCTTGCTTGCTACAGTTATTCTCTAGTTGTTTGGGCAAGCATGGGCTGGCAAACTGCTCTTTAAAAGGGGGCTTAAACAATGCTTTAGCCAAACAAGAGACTAGTTTTTAAAGATTAAGGTGAGGGCGCCTGGGTGGCTCAGTCGGTTAAGCGTCTGCCTTCAGCTCAGGTCGTGATCCCAGGGTCCTGGGATCGAGCCCCGCATGGGGCTCCCTGCTTGGTGGGGAGCCTGCTTCTCCCTCTCCCTCTGCCTACTTGTTCTCTCTCTCTATCTCTCTGTCAAATAAATAAATAAAATCTTTAGGTGAAGGTGAAATACAGGGCACAACTGATCTCTGACAAGCTCCTAAAATGCAAAGGAGAAGACTAAAAGGAAATATACCTAAGTATAAACGGAACCTGGCAATTCAGAGAGGTTAAGTGACTTATCTCAAATCACACAGCTAGACAGAAGCAGCACAGGGACTGGTTTCCCAACTGAAGTCCACATGTATTGTTTTGGGTGTATGTGTGTTTGATACCTCCTCCCCCAACCCCAAACAAAAACCATGCTGCAGCGTGAGCAAGCTGACTACCTCTAGGATAGGCCAGATTCCAGCCATCTTTAATCCCTTCTCCCACCTGAGGAAGTAGCTCTGCAGCTGACAAGAGTAAGCATGAAATTTAAAACCTACCTGCTTTCCCCATCCCTAAGTCCCTTCTTCTGGCTATATGCATTCTCAATTTATACCCACCTAAGAAACCCATGCTGGGTTTGCGTCTCTAGCCCTGGGGCTAACAGGCTGTGCAAGCTTAGGTGGGCAAATCCCTTTACCTCCTCAGGCTCAGTTTTCTGACTGGAATGTAGACTGGACATTACTAGATGGTATCTTTGGTTCCTTTCCTCTCGAAAACTCTGCACTTGGCTTCTTTCTTTTAGCAGTTCTGTTCATCTTATCCTTGCCATCTCAAAAGTCATTACCCCAGGAAGGCCTTCTTAACCCTTCCAGTAGAGACCAGGCCTTCCTATTCAACACTCCCATTAACATCCTTTACTGCTTCTTTATAACATTGATCAGAGCCGCAATTTATTGTTTGCGTAAGAATTTGCCTATTGTTGATCTTCCTCAGTGTGTGTAAGGACAAACACCACATCTTCCTTCACTGCTGTCTGAGGCCCCACATAGTTGGTGAATAAATGAACGAATGAATGACTTGGACTTCTATTCAGAAGTGCTGGACAGGAGGAGATCTGCCACCCAAATATAAAGAATGGAAGTCACATCATTTCCAGAAACTCACCTCCATCTGTTTGTTCTAAGGACTGCTTTGGAAATAAAGTAACTAAAATAGAGCAGGCAAAAGTGCCCTGTGACTCAAAACTCCATCTATCTCTATAAACCAAAACTAGTGGGATCCACAGTGTGAGTCTCCCAAATGAACGAGGCTGACCAAGTGTAATCTGACATGCCATTCAGCAGAGAACCCATGGATTCTGTAAGCCTGGCATTCCTCGAAAAGGAACCTATGAACCCTTCCTAAATCCCACACGTTTGTCATCCTGGCTTCTGGGTCTTCATACAGCCTTCCTCCCTTGCTTTTTCCACTCCGACAGAAGAACAGGAAAGGAACTGTTTCAGGGCAGGCGGAGCCAATGCCTCAATGATCTGGCGGCTTGAATATTTATGGTGTAAAAGGCTTCCACTGTCTTCTCGCAGCCCGGAGTGGAGCAAAAGCCAGGACCCAGACTGACAATTGAGATGTAGGCAAAAGCAGGAAACTCCTTGGATGGAAATTTTGAATATTTAGTCTATTTTTATCCTTCCAATACCTTCCAGATGAGTTATGGAAAGCTTACTTATGTGGAGCATGCTCAACATGTTAAAATGCATGGAGATTGTACAGCTGCCTTGTTTTAATTTGTGATGGACATGGTTTCTTTATAATTTTGCTAAGTCTCCATTCCCCAATGCAGAATATTACTGTATAAATATGTATGTGTGTGTATTACCTTGTAAGTGTTAAACAAGCTGCATGAAAAGCCAGAAAACATAAACACATTTAGAAACAAAACAAAATATTAATTCTATTTTCTAACAATATGATCAATATGTTTTCTTCAACCTCTAGACAGCTTTGTTTTGTGAAATACCTCTAACCTTAAAGCAATTAGTCCACTTGCTTATCTAAAGAAATAGCTGAAATAAACACATTATTTTCACTGTATTTCCAGACATTTTGGGCTTTGTGATATATTTGCTGTACTTTTTCATACTAACCATTAACCAGTGTTTTTAAACTGTGCTATTATAATATGAGGATACAAAGTAACAAAAAAGTTTACTTTTTTTTTTTTGAAGATTTTATTCATTTATTCATGAGAGACAGAGAGAGGCAGAGGGAGAGGCAGGCTCCCTGTAGGGAGCCCGATGGGGGGCCCAATCCCAGGACCCTGGGATCATGACCTGAGCCAAAGGCAGACACTCAACCGACTGAGCCACCCAGGTGCCCCAAAGGCTCACTTTTTTAAACAAATAAACCAGAACTTATACACTCATATGTGTTATCTTTCAAAGTTGGCACCTTGGTGGTAATATACTAAAATATTTTTATTAGGAAACAAGATTAAAAAATAATGAACTGGGGCGCCTGGGTGGCTCAGTTGGTTAAGTGCCTGACTCTTGGTTTCGGCTCAGGTCATGATCTCAGGGTCATGAGATCAAGCGGGAGCCTGCTTAAGATTCTCCCTCTCCCTTTGCCCCTCCCCCTGCGCCCCCCCCCCCCCACCCCGGTCTCTTAAAAACAAAATAGTGATGCCTGGGTGGCTCACTCGGTTAAGTGTCTGCCTTTGGCTTGGGTCATGATCCTGGAGTCCTGGGATCGAATCCTACATCAGGCTCCTTGCTCAAGAGGGAGCCTGCTTCTCCCTCTGCCTGCCACTCCCCCTGCTTGTGTGCTTTCTTTCTCTCACAAATAAATAAAATCTTTAAGAAAGAAAGAAAAGAAAAGAAAGGAAGGAAAAAAGAACTGAACATTTAACTCAACAATCTAGAAAACACGTAACACACTAAAATGAAATTTATAATGATAAAATTTATAATGATAAAAGCATAAACATAAAGCAATAGTCAAAGAAGAGTAGACTGAATCAAACCAACACTTTTTTGCTCTAAAAAATATAGGTAGATAATCCTTCAGAAAATCTGATCAAATTTAAAAAGAGAGAGAGAGAAGTGGTAAATTAACATTAGGGCTCAGAAAGAGGGCATTATAACTACAGATTTGGAGAGTATTTTTCTTTTTAAGATTTATTTATTTTAGGGCGCCTGGGTGGCTCAGTTGGTTAAGTGACTGCCTTCGGCTCAGGTCATGATCCTGGAGTCCCGGGATCGAGTCCCGCATCGGGCTCCCTGCTCGGCGGGGAGTCTGCTTCTCCCTCTGACCCTCCCAACCCTGCCCCCTCTCATGTGCTCTCTCTCTCAGTCTCTCTCTCTCAAATAAATAAATAAAATCTTTAAAAAAAAAAAAAGATTTATTTATTTTAGAGAGAGGAGCATGCGCATGAGCAGGGGGAGGGGCAGAGAGAAGGAGAGAGAGACGCAGACTCCCTGCTGAGTGTGGAGCCTGAAATGGGGCTCAGTCTCACGACCCCAAGATCATGACCTGAGCTGAAATCAAGAGTTGGACGCTTAACCAACTGAGCCACCCAGGTGCCCCAGAGAGTATTTTTTGTAAATTGTAAGAGAATAACACATAACTTCACATCAATAAACTTGAAGATTAAATAAAATGGAGGACAGTCAAGGAAAAGAAAAATGACTAAAATCAACTCAAGAAAAATTATGAAAATAACAATAAAAACTCACAGCAGAAATCTGTAAGATATTCGAAGAAGTAGCCACTAAAACTACATCAGGCACAAATGGTTTTCTGGGTGAATTCTCCCAAACTTCTTCTTTTTTTTTTTTAAAGATTTTTATTTATTTGACAGAGAGAGATACAGCGAGAGAGGGAACACAAGCAGGGGGAGTGGGGGAGGGAGAAGCAGGCTTCCCGCCGAGCCCAATGCGGGACTCGATCCCAGGACCCTGGAATCATGACCTGAGCTGAAGGCAGATGCCCAACGACTGAGCCACCCAGGCGCCCCAATTCTACCAAACTTCTATCAAACAGATAAATTCCATGTCATCCCTACTGTTCCCAAACTTATGGAGACAGAAGGGAAAGCTTCCTAATTTCTTCTATGTGCCTAACATATTCCTGATATCCATCTGGACTGAGACGGTACAAAAAATAAAACTATAGATCAATCTTCACTTGTGAAGACAAATATAAAAATCCTAAGTAAAATATCAACAAATAGAATTCAGCAGTTTTAAGAGAATAGTTCACTATGACCATGGAGGGTTTATACCAACAATGCAAGGATGGTTAAATTACAAAATCTATTAACATAACTTCATTTGTTCAGCAAGTATGTGCTAAATGCTTTCTGTGTGTCTGACTCTATGCTAGTTGAGTTAGTGAGCCATACCAGAAGGGTTCCTGTCCATGTGGAGCCAACAGCCTTATGGGAGAAGGAAATCACCGATAAGGAAATTTAAAGTATTTGATGGCATACAGAATAACTGAGGGAGGCTCACTTTAGATAAGGTGGTTAGGGAATGCTTATCTCAGGCGGGACATTTAAGCTAAGTTGAAAAGCAACCCGCTTGAGTTCAAAAAAAAAAAAGAGAGAGAGAAAAAGAGGGAAGATCAGGAGGCTAGGACAGGTGAGCAGGGGAGAAAGATGTGAGATGAACCTGAGGAGGTAGGAGGGGCCAGATCATACTGGGTCTTGCAGGCCACAGTAAGGATTTTCTTCTAAGAATAGTTCCAGACACTATTTTAAAGAATTCTTTAAAAAATTCTCTAATTCTTCTATAAAGAGAAGAAGAATTTTAAAGCAGGAGACTGAATGGCACTATTTTATCCATTACTCATTTTCCACTTAATGACTAGAGTCTACTAGCTTGTCAGGGGCCTAAGAAAATATTTAGGACCTGAGAAAATATATTTACAAGTCAAAAATACAAAAAGAAAATTATAACCATAAAAATTAATAAATGCTTAAATGTCCTCAAAATATAACAACCCAGGGTTTTCTTTTCCTTTTTCTTTTTAAGAAGGCTCCATGCCCAGCATGGAGCCTAACTCAGGGCCTGATCTCATGACCCTGAGATCAAGACCTGAGCCAGGATCAAGAGTCAGATGCTTAACTGACTGAGCCACCCAGGTGCCCCAAACCCAGGAATTTCATTCACTGTTAAATTTAGGATTTATAAAAATTTTGTTACATTTGAAAACAACTCTCACTTTACAAAAATTCCTAAAAATGCTAACTGTTAAAAATCTCAGGTAATTATAAATTGAATCAGTTATTTGTAGCCAAAACACTTCAGTAGCAAAATTATTAAAATTCTTTAAAAACGTGATAGCAAAAATAAATAAAACCACATGTTTAATATGGGATGTGGGTACCTTTTAATGGATTTCCTATAAAGTGGGGCAAAGTCTCCAAACCCT